AATTTGAGTTAATTTTGTATGATTGTTAGTATTTTATACATGTTGCATTTTCTTTCACATGCCTGTGGTAATTCCACATATAGTTTTCTTATTTTGAGATTCCCTTTTGAGTTTTTGAGGAAAATTGGCATTGAAAATATCTAAGTATATGGTTTTAATGATGAATTAAACTACTCAAATTTGTATTAGTTACTCGAATACTTCATCCAGTTTCGGAAATCTGAGTAAGTTTTTGAAATTTTATTATGTTCCTTAGGAATAGTTAGAATTCTTTGTAACTCGTCTCTTCTGCGATAAATAGGTTCTGTATTGAAGAGTTAGAATTCTAGGCAGTGTGTCACTGGAAACCTGTTATTAAATGTAGCAACAGAGAAAACAATGAGTTATTTGCATCTATTATTATTTGATCTATAAGCAGTGCTCTACTTTTAAATATTCAGTTTTAGGTGTATTTTAGTTGTTTGTAAATTGTATGATTTTAGAAGATCTTTAAAATAAAATTTTCATTCCTGATTGTGTGAGACAATTTATGTTACAGTCACTCACCACCAAGAATATTTCTACCGTGCTGCGTTTTTAACTGTTTGGTTAGAAAAAACTTACTGTGGTTGTTTTTAAAAAGATGTTCAAATTCCCAGTTTAGGGCTGCAATATGTGCATAAGACCCATGTTTTTATCATTTTAAGGACAGTGGATGGATATTTTAAAGTCTTTTTCAAGCAGCAGGACTCAGACAGAACCAGAGGAAATCTGCTGACAAACCTCATTATTCACTAAACACTTCCCATTTCGATTGAACCCGATGATTTGGATCCATGCAACAAGAGGCAGGGAAACGGAGAACCCAGGCAAATCCTCTTTATCAACCTCCAATTCCACATGGAGAGGGCCCGATGGGAAGCCCGACTGAAAGACCGGAACGATCTGAGCACTTCATCTCAGGTAGTCCAACAAGTTATATAGACCGCCACTTGCTAAGATCCAAATTGGCCCCTATCCAATGAAGAGTTTCGCTTCTCAGAAATAATTTTATACATATTTGAAAAAAATAGCATGAACAATGTTTGAATTAGTAAAAAAAAAGCATTGTTAATGAAATAGCCTATTGAACAAAGAGATTTTTAACTTTAAAATTTAAGAATCTAACATTGGGTAATGAACTAATTATATTGTCGCGCATTCTAGAAGGCAATTTCTTAACCTTTCATTTGCATTTTGTATTAGTTTAGTTATTGTATTTATAATTTTGTGTTTTAGTGATCATGAGAATATTTTTTTGTTGTAGGTGGCGGATATAACTGGTTGGCGGCTTTTTCGAACTGCCAGTCTTTTTTAATGTATCGAGTTGTCACGTGCAAAATTCTGATTATTAAACGCAGTATTTATGCATCCTAAAATATCATTTGCATTGTCATCAACAAGTTTTTGGTACCCCCACCCCGCAAACAAATGGACTTCACCCACTTCTGTTTCAGACGCAATATAACATTCCCCCATACAGAGTAAAGCCCCCGTATCATCACGTATCATCAGGCTTCACAGGGCCGGTTCACTCCATGTTTAAAAGCCGGGGGACTAAGTTTGTTTCCTACTCACCCGACCTGGTGCAGATAGCGTCGCTGTTGCGGTTTTGCGCGCATTTTTCAAAGGTAAGTTGTGGCGAATTACATTGTGGCCGGTGAGGAGATTTCAAGAGTTTATCTTGCTTTTCTTATGATTCAGATTAACTGAATTTAAATAATATTTTTAAAAATATTGTATAATGTTTATACTAAAACCAAATTGGTAAAAGTGATTTACTTATCCTTAATTACTTTAAAGCAGAAAAAAGTGAAAACATGAAGTTTTAAAATGATCATTTCCCTTATTGTTTTTTTAGTTTGTTTTTCACATAGATACTATACACTTGCCAGAGGGCTCTGAGTGCATACTGCCCTAACCCACAAAATCTTTAAATGTGAGTACTTATAGTTTCAGCACTTCTCATGTGTTCACGTTATGGAATAAGCTTGTAGCAACACCTGTCAGCATGGGTCTGAAAAAGACATTCTTTATCCAAAAAAATCCTCTTACTGTTAAAAACAACTTATTTCACAAAAAAACTTCCAACAATATTAGACAGTTTTTGAAATATTAAATTCTATTTAATAGTTGTTCCTGTCCTTCCACTTTAAATGGTATTTTTACCAATATCACAAGGAAAAAAGGTTAACATTATTAAAATTAATAAAATTAAATTCCGTTTTTATAGTTTTTACAATATTAATTTTTTTTCTTAAGTGAGTATCAATAAAATTCCATTTTACTAATGCTTATCTTCTCTAAGATGTTATACTTTGTGGCATTAGCAAACATTTTACTCCAAATCTAGAATTACAAATATGCTTGAAGATTTATCGTGTTTTTCCTGAAACAAGCTCGTGTGTGTATTGTTCCTAAATTTGCATTATCTAACAGACAATGAAATGCTAGATAAAAACTAATATATCATCCCAAGTCCGTTTAGTAAATAACTACTACAAAAGTGTTTATTGTTCATTTCATAAGCATGCTCATTTTAATGTATATTACATTGTATTTTTTTTCTCGAAATTCTTCATTGTGTGAAAAAGTTTAAAGAAATATGATATTCGTTGTATTAACTATGTTAATTGATTTAAGTCTTCATCTCTGTAACTTAATATTTGTAATATTTGAAAAATAACTTAAATCAATGATTTTTAAAAAGTTATCATTTGTTATAAATCATGATTGAAATCATACCAGCCTTAATTTTTTGGTGACTTTATTAGCCGAAAATAGAATTGTGATTTTGATTTACAATATCAATCATTGTTATTGGGTAAGTCTTCAAAACCAAGAAATGAAACAAATTTATAAATTATACTAGTTTTATGTTTGGCAAGTTGATTCGTCTTGTAGTTAGTAATAACATACCGGTAAACATGCTTAGTGTTCTGGGATTAAGAGGGAATTTGCATTGTTACAAAAAAAATCTTATGAAATGAAAATTTGTGGAAATATAAGACAATATTTTATTTGGCCAGTTCTAGCAGTCTAGCAGTAGTTTCCTAGTTTTTAGGCAATCTTAACTTTAAATAAATAACTGGCACAGATTCTCTGTTTAGGCAGCAAACAAGATTTTTTTTTATTTTCTATGGCTACCTGATTGTTACTGCACATCATGACAATATTTCCACAAAGTCACAACAAACTATCCTCATTGAACCTACACATGGGCAGAACAATACTGAATTGTTTACGAATGACAGAATTTTGATGGTATAAGTAGAAAAATTGATTAGATTTTACTATAATATCAATAATATTATTACAGGATTTATTGTTCAGATGTTTCATTTAGCCATTTAAATTTGGCTACATTTAATTAAAAATCATCTATAATGTATTAACCTTCTTAGCACTGAAGTATGTGAAATATCAAAAAAGTATTATACCTATCTTTATTTTTAAAATAAACGTTAGATTATTAGGGTATATTATTTATTACACACAGTTTTTTTATACCATTCGAAAACGAAAGTTTTTAATTGTTCACATTCAAAATTGTTTTGATTATTTATTAATATATTTCCAGTGCTTGTTAGGAAAGTTTTTCTAAACAAGGCAATTATTATTCGAAATATATATTGCTGAAATAATATATTTGTCTCTAATATCGAGACTAGCAGCACTTGCAGCATCGAGGGAAAAAAGAATTCACTGGCACACTTTGTAATAAGATTTCTTGAAATGTTCTTTGAGAAGACAACAGGGCTGGGCTTGTAAGGAAACACTGTTGATACAATTCCATCTTCTAATGTCAGTGAAGTCGAATTCATTTGTATCTTGCCAGTTATCATACTGCAACTCGAAGATCACCTCCAGAATGGAAACGTAACTCGTACACCTCAGCAAATAAACTTAATTACATTTTCATCATACATTAATGAGAGTGTACCTATTCTAGAAATGCAAACAATAATGAATTATGATATTTGAAAAGTTAGAAATTTTGAATACCAGGGTATTGCAAACAATGAATATATGGATATACAATGAACATATTACAAACGTGTCCAATACCATACGAAATAATATAACTACAATACTTTTAACAAATAGCACAGAATAAACGACATGTACAGGTTAGGTTTTACTACATGGATTTACGGATTTTTTAAGACTATTTTGCATGGTGTAAATGTTCACAAATAAATAATCAATTAAATTATGCAACAAGATTCTCACAATATTTAATACTCCCTGTTCTTGTTTTGTTATTGGTGAAATCGCTTCATGTTACTTGTCTATGTTCCCAGTTTTTCATCTTTTGTCTTTTATTTTCTTCTCTTTCATAATTTTATTTTCTATTCATATAATTGACCTCGCTTTTATTTTTTTTTTTTCTTCTTTATTTTCTTTCTTTCTTTTTTTGTTTTTCATTTGTTTTTTTTTTTCTTGATTTTGTTTTTATTTTTTTTTGTTTCTGCTCTTTTATTTTTTCTCTTCTACTTTTATTGGCGGTCTACTTTTCTTTCTTTTTTATTTTTTCATATTTTATTTCATTTTTTTTTTTAGGTTGTTTTCTTTTTTTTTTAAATATTTTTTTTTTTTTTCCGTTTTTTTTTTTCACTTATTTAATTTAAAAATCTTTTTTTTTTCCTGTCTGTCATAGTTGTTTATTTCTCTTCTTTTTCATTTTCTATTGTTCTTTGTTATCTGTATTCTTTTGCTATTCTTTTTCTTTTGACTCTAATCTTTATTGTTTTGATTTTTTCTTTTTTTCTTCTATTTTTTTTGCTTTTATCATTTTACTCTCTAGTTCTTCTAGTGATATTTTTATTTTCATTTTCCAAATGAATTATAAATACCTCACTGCTGTAGGGTGAAAATCCTAACAATGTACTTGTCTGCACCTCTTAATATATCTGCCAAAATACTGAAAACAAAGTTTTAGACATGACAACGTTTAGTTCGGCTCACGACGGAACTGTTGTAGATGGCGCAAAAATCATTACCCCGTTTTGACCGCCTAGTTTCCCTACCCTGGGCTTCAAGTTGCATCATGGGATTATACAGTTATTACTAGCACACTCTGCCGACAGAGTTGAGAACAAATACGATATAGCATGACCAAACATGATCGATTCCTCAATCAAATCGGAACGTCTCAACCTGTGATCGATTGATTGAAGTGGTAATCGACAATGGATGGGGGCAGAAGGGAATTTTGACTTCAAAATACTTTAAGGACACCTTCACACATCGCCACGGCGGCGCGCTTCTAATCAAGCGGCAGGTCTCTTCCGCCGCCGCTAGCTATGCTCACCTCGGTCGCACCGCCGCCCGCCGTTGAACGGGGTGGGTTTCGCAGACCTTCCGGCGACGACGAACCAAGGAACCGCAGCAGGTAAAACGCCGCGACCAGCGGCGCACTGTGGGAATACCATCATTTGAAGCTGTTCAGCACTTCGCGTAGCGAGAGTCCACCGCCGAACGCCGCAGGTCTGTCTCGCAAACGTCTCCATTGCTCGGGTAACGAGCCGCGGTGTTCGGGAGCGTGCAGCGGTGGTGGCATGAGAAGAGAAGGGGCTCAAATGTGTTTGAACAGAAGGGAGGTGCACAGGCTGTTAACCGAAGGCTACTTTGCCGTTAATAAGCCCAAAAACTGGACTTCTGTTCAAGCGCTTGAAGAGATAAAGAAAGTCTTACGAAAAGGTAGAACTACCTCAATAAACGTATTTGTAGGTTACTGGGCTCTCAAAATAAAAGATTTACAATTGATATGCAATCTCATGTTTTTTGTCAGATATACCCACACATTTTCAGCCACCTGTTCTGAAATTAGGTCATGGAGGGACATTGGATCACACTGCTACAGGCGTCTTAGGTAGGGACTATATATATGAGTTCTTCCGGTACAGATGTATTTAGATTATAATTTAAAAGTTATTCTTAGCTGTAGGTGTTGGATGGGGCTGTAAATTACTTCCTATATTTCTGCATGGCGACAAGAAGTACATAGCCACTGGTCGTTTTGGGATTGCAACAACTACTTATAATGAAACTGGTAAAATTACAGAGGAAATGAAATATGGTATGTTTGGTTTTTACTCTCGAAACTTTGAAATTAATTATTCTTGATTATTACTAAATTACATTATTGTTAAATAATTCTATCTTTACAGATCATATTACAGAAGAGATGTTTGAAAACACTCTTCAAAAATACACGGGAAAAATTTATCAAACTCCTCCAAAATATTCTGCCTTAAAATATCAAGGGAGAAGAATTGGTGATTGGACTAGGTGCGTACTTTAATAAACCAGATTGCTTCAAAAGATGTATAAAATTGAAAAGTGCAAAAAGGAGTGAATTGTTTGCATTCAATAAAATTATACATTAATATTTTTTAGAGCATTGATAAACATTTTGGAAAAATCTCATTTAGTAGTTATTAACTAGGCAGGCCATTATGTAAAAACTACATTTGGATTATAAGTAAGCCTGCATGGTCTACTCTCTTCTAATTCAGATTGAGGCATTTGCAAAAGAAAATAGTACCGTGTCATCTTTTTTTCATCCTTAATTGAAAATGTAATTTATTAACTCTATTGTTTTATATATTTTGGATCATGTGTGTGTCATGTTTTCATTTTGAACTGTACACTAGCAACAGTGATAGAGAGGCAGATGATGTGAATTGCCAAGAGGTGTGGTCCGAAGTGTCGCTGGTCCCTAACTACCAATGGTATGCTGTTAGTCACATTTGCTGGCCCTGGGCCTCCAGATGACCTTACTCTGCCACTTTTGAACACAGTTATTTGTGTTTTATAAGGATGGTTGAAAATTGGGAAGTTCAAAGTCCTATGACAAACCTTTAAATAGTTGATATTATTTCCTCTTCAAAAGTTTTATTTCAGAGCAAATAATCAACTTGACACATCAATTTTTATTTAATTTACACATTAAGTTTTAAAAATAATTTTCTTTATTACTTTCCTAGTAATCTCTATTGTTTACTAATATCCTCTATGTATTTATCCTTTTTGCCTTTTCTTAAATTTTCAATTTAAGGAGTATAAACTATAATAGAATAATGGTTTTAGAGAAGGAATGGACATTGAAATGAAACCTCGACCTGTCACTTGCTACAGTTTAAAGAGCAGAAAATTTCATCTTCCTCATTTTGAAATAGAAGTCGCTTGTGGAGGTGGTTTCTATGTCCGAAGTCTTGTACATGACATTGGACAAGGTAAGTCACATTGAAGTAAAGCACTAAGAAATGAGAGTAGATACTCTACAAATTATTTTAATTTTCAGCACTTTCTAGTTGTGCTCATGTTACAACTCTGCATCGAACTAAACATGGACCGTTCATGGAAGAAGACATGTTGGAGCACTCTCAATGGAATGGACATAACATAATAAGAGCAATATATGAAGCAAAAATAAAATACTATGAACTACTTAAAAAATCAAAAGCAAAGCACCTTCTGAATTCGTTGTAAAAAAAAAAAAAAGCATTTCCAAGAGCAAGAACGTTTCTATATGATTCATATTGTACAAGGTGTCTAATTTTTAAATACTTGTATGTTAAAAAAAGTGTTCTTTGAATGGTGCCATACAAATTGACAAATCCTTTGCTGAAATATTTGTGACATTAAGGTCAGTGTGTTTGCTTTTCCTAGGTCATGATTCAGAGTATTTAAAATATGAAATTCTCTTAAATATTTATCTATATTCTGTGTTTCTGGTATCATTATTTAACAAATTCTGAAATGATTCAACATCAAAACAATTGGAAAATTGAATAATATTGAAAATTTCATTCATGCTATTTAACACCTACAACTTACCTTATTTAAAACTTGAAAGCATTTGTTGCATTGGCGAATACAGAGTAACTACTCGCCCATACCAGGGTAGCCAAGGTGCTTGGCAAATGTTCACTTCCTTCGATGTGCTCAAAAGACCAACACCTTAGGTCAAGAAAAGTGTGTTCAACACTCAACAAATAGCTAACAACCCTTCCACACTAAAAAGTATTTAGGGAATGGTCTCGACTACTCACCAAATAGAAATTGTATTCAACTGCCTTAAGAAACGTGTGCCATTATTTTCAATAAAAGGTGATTTATAAAATTCTAGATGAGATTATGTAGAAAATATGCCCAATTAACAGCCACAGAGACATAGCAAGTTGTGGAAAAATTTTGGAACAATCTTGTCGATCAACGGCAACAACACATTTGGGAACTTGGAACAACAGTATTAAAAAAAAAGAAAGGTGATTGAATAATCACTCTCCTCTAATTCACAGCATTCTTTCAAACATTAAGTACAATGCCCAAGAGGATTATTTCGAATCAGGAATATTTATTATTATTATTATTATTATTATTATTATTATTTACAAATTGGGATTCCAATGTGATAGCCCAGAAATGTGTGATATTTTTTGTTTTATTTTCTCCTTTAAAAAGTTTATACAAAGTGTTTTTATCATATTTTTGTGACCTGTTGTGATGTGCAACATGTTGACTTGACCAATAAATGATGGATATTTGAGAGAGAAGTTTAATTTTTTGAAAAATGTCTTATGCACTTGCATAGAATGTCCACCATGAAAATATTGAAAGTAAATATTTTAAGGACAAATATTCGAGCTTACAATATGAAGACTAAGACCAGAATACTTTGTTTTTCAAAGTTGGGGCCAATGAAGCTTGTGGTTTATATTCACATATTTTGATGTTTCTTTTTCAATATAATAATTTTAAGTAGTGTAAAGCCGAATTTGTCAGTTTCAAAATTGTTAAGAAAGGCATGGCTGTTTATAACACTTTTAAATAAAGCTTTTTGGTATGTTTTTATATATATTTTTAAGAAGTTATAGTTTTTATACAAATAAAATTGCAGTGTCTGCGATTTCAAATTATGTCTTTATCTCATTTAGATCTAAATCAATTGACAATTTTTGTCCACACTAATTTCTGGAATGTCTAAACTGATTTCAACAGTTTTTCACTGAAAGGTTTTGTATTATGCCAGGATAATTAAACTATTTTACAAATTACTACCTATTATATAACTAATGTTTATTCATTTACATACAGTTTTATTCTGACCTTTGAAAACTTCAATGAAATTTTGAACAAGTGATCGTAGAAAAATTACTATACCTTTTGTAAAATAAACACTGTTTCCCTTTCCTTTTCCATGAAGAGTTCTGTGAATTTATATCGAAAATGGTGAGGAAAATCACTAAAATGGAAGAAGTTTCTGAAAGTCCATACAATTTTCTACTCAATGCATTTTTGATTAATTTCAATAGTGACACTAGAATGAGTAAATTGAGGGTCACATTTGTTACTGGATATTTGCTAGGAGTAAATAACACTATACATGTTGACAGCTCATGGTGATGGCTAGAGCCCAGAAGTTTAGGTGTTTATTTTACCTAAAATAGGCAGGCAAAAAAGCATTCATTTTTATTACAATAGGCATTTATTCTAGCCAAGATAGGAGTAAAAAAAAAAAGGCATGAATCAAAAAAAAAAAATAAAAATAAAAAATCGTGTTTAAAACGATTTTTTGTAAAAAATTAAAAGTTATAATTATTTGCATTTATATTTTGACACTAAAATTCACATTAGCCCTTAATGTGTAAGGAAACTTTATTTTCTTTGTAATCTTGATTCCACATGACCATTTGATATCATGACTACGAATTTTTTTATACGTGACACACTCTTAGACATTATTTGGTGGACTCCCTTTTGATTTTTGAAATGGCAATAGTGAAAATGAGACTAAATGTTTCGTTCTCACTTATGGCCAGCACAGAGAGGTACAGCACACACAGAGAGCTGTTCTCAGAAGGGATCCGTGACTCAAAGTAGGATGGGATCCCTTGTGAGCAAGTCTAAGTATCAATGAAAAATGAGGAAAAAAGAAAAAATCCTGACTGGTCTACTCTGTTTTTCATTTATATTTTTAACAATGCCTCTGCATCCTCAAAAAGACAAAATATGCAGTAGAAGATAAAGAAGCAAAATGAAAATCTACTACAACAACTCCAGAAGTATCATCCAGTGATTCCTATGGTCAAAAGTCATGAAATGGTAACAATAACAAAAGGCATTTTGCCAAGCTTCCAGGATCTAGTGATAGCAAAAATGGAGAGATCGAACACTGGCAAGGCAGGATGATGAGGGTAGGTCAGGGCAGAGTGAAATCATGCAGGGTGGGAAAGGAACACATTTGACATAGAATTCATTCCAATTTTTGTCTAAAAGTAAATGACTGTGCTTAATACCCAGGCAACAATGATCATCTCTGCTAGTTAGCAAATAAAAAGTGCTGTTTGAAACAAGTTTGAATTTAAAAAACTTTAGAAGTCAATAAAAACAATTTTAAACTACCCTGAAATCGCCGTTCTCACAAGCAGCACAATGTGCACAAAATGAGATGTAAGGGTTAACAGCATTACTTTCACCACATCCCAAGGGTCACTGCTAAGTTACAGGAAGGGTTAACAGCCCCGATCTGCCAATTAGGATAAAAAATTTCATCACTGTGGGGCACAAGGTGTGTCCAAGAAGTCATGAAATATAATTTTTTGCAGCGCTGCTATTGGTCGCAGCGCACTCGGACTGATTGGATTAGGTGGTGGTGGGGGCTCAGCTTTACATCGCACCAAAGCGTAGTCTGCTCCGAGCAACGGTAGCATCAGCATCGTAGAATGAGTACGCCGCTTTTTTTTCGGACGTCACGACACGCGATGAGCAATTCGGTCGAACAACGTTGGGCGATCACGTTTTGCAAGAAGTTCGATAAAAAGCCTTCCGTTAAATCAAGCCTAAGGGGAAATCTGCCATGAGTTATGTGCAAGTTACGAGATGGAGTTTAAGGATGGTCAAGAAGGAGGACGATGACCCCTCGTTTTCGAAGACCAACATGCAGAAACAAAGACAATGTGAATCGTGTTCGTGAATTGATAAATTCTGACCGCCGGTTGAGTGTTCGGCTTTTAGCTAACACTCTGAACATCCCTAAAAGTTAAGTATTCAACATTGTTACGGAGAAATTGCACATGAGATAGGTGTGCTCCAAGTTAGTGTCGAAAGTTCTGTCAGACGAACAAAAGGTCAATCGAGTGTTGATCGCAAGTGAACTGTTGGAACTTGTGGAAATTGAACCGCATTATTTGGACAACGTCATTACTGGTGACGAGACACGGACTTTCGCGTACGACCCGGAAACCAAGCGCCTACGTTCAGTATGGCACACCTCAGCGTCCCCAAAACCCAAGAAGGCGAGGATGAGTAAAATCTAAGGTGAAAACGATGCTGATTGTCTTCGACAACAAAGGTGTGGTGCAAAAAGGGCAGGTTGTTAATGTTCATTACTACGTAGATGTCTTGGAAAGATGAGTCCTCCTAGTGCGAAAAGACGTCGCCGCTACGTGGCTGCTGCATCACGACAACGCGCCGAGCCACACATCTCTGCGCGTCCGCGAGTACTAGGCCAAGCACAAACTAGCAACACTGCCGCAGCCACCCTACCGTCCTCACCTCTCCTCCGCCGGACATCTTCCTGTTTTCCAGGATTAAAACCGCGCTCAAAGGACGCCGTTTCGAGACCATTGAGGACATCCAAAAGGCTGTGACAATGCTCTTAAACGAGGCCTTGCAAGGGGCTTACCAACTAGGGGAGAATCGCTGGAAAAAATGTGTAATTCTAATGGTGACTACTTGAAGAATTTTAAGTTTTGTACATATATTGCCAATAAATGTTTTTTTTTTTTTTTGTTTTGTTTTTTTTAAATTCATGACTTTTTCGACACACCTTGTATGCATAAAATTTCAGAAGAATAGAATACCTTTCACCACTTGTAATGCTCCTCGCTTTCAGAAGTCCAAATGCAATTTTGAATCACAGAATCACAAAATATCCTCTACTTAAGAGATCTTCTCATATTTTTATTTGTAAATATCCGAAGTTTCAGGCATTAACATTGACATTATAGACAATTCTTTGTCACTTCTCACATTGTCTCTTATGTCCTGGTAGAATATCTGTGCTCTTCACTGAAGGCTATTAGAGTGGTAATTATGTTTCATATTTGTATGCAAAAAAAGAAAGGACTTTCATCAAGGAACCTATAAATAACTTGCTACAACTACCTCGAACCTTTAATGTCTTAAGAAATAAGTCCAAGAAGAAGCATACACTAAAAGTGACTACAAATGTCCACAAATACCTTGAGGACTCGAAGACCACCTTCAAAGAAACAAGTAACACTATTTCTCATATGAGCTGACACCTGCGATTCTTCACTTTCTTGCACCCCAATCATGTCATAGCATCATTTGAAGGAAAATTATTTTTTGTCCTTTGGCTATTTATGTGAAAGGCTGTTGACCCTCTTCTGTTTCAAAATCATAAAACCAGAATTTGTACACTATCTTTAAAGCTACTGACATGTCACTGTTGAGATTAATAGGCCAAATAGCAAATAAGGTAAGACTATTGTATCCTCTTACATAGATTGAATGGGATAAGCAGATATTTCTTTAATTATGCAGATCATGCACACACAAAATTAAAAAATAAATCATCATCCTACCTTTCATACCATTATAGAAGACTTTCACAATTTCATGCATAATTAAGAGCCCATTCTTGATTCTTGAATTTCAGATCAAAGCAGCAAATTAAGCTCTTTTTCATTAACATACATTTCTCTAGCTTTTTCTAAAATTACATATCCACCACAAACAATCCTGTTAATAGGCCTAGAATGCTGATGAACTTCAACACATACTATGGTAGGGAAAAACTGAGGTCATTTTGGATTTCAGCCCGTCAAAAAATAGACCAACATTCAATGTAGTTTTTTGGTAGCAGCCTGGTAATTTAATATAAAGAATAATTATTTTAGAAACATTCATATATTCTAATGAAACTAAGGACAATTATTTTGCAGCTTGTATATGACCACTTGAAAACCTAAAATACTATCACAAAATGAAAATTTCTTAAGCATACAATAAACTGAACAACTTGGAAAATATATCTGTATCTACAAAAAGTGTTCGAGTCGCAAGATACAAAATTGTGTACAACTTAAGTTGCATATTCACTCCACAAATATATGATTTGATAGAATCATGCTAAATAAAAATTTGTGTTGCTTTTGTTGTAGGTCAGAAGTATCTGACTAGATCACTAATATGTTTCTGTCTGTATTGTACTGCCTGTTTTCACAAAGTGCCTTTCAAAGTGTCCAAGAGTTCACCATTGGCCTTAAGTTCATTTATTATGTCCAAACCCCCTATTAACTCTCCTTTCACATAAACTTGAGGATATGTTGGCCAGTTAGAGAAAGTTTTTAAACCTTGGCGAACTTCTTCATCCATTAAAATATCAAATGTTTCAAATGGTAACCTACAAATCAGAGCAGAAAATTATTAGCAATGAGTTAAGTTTCAAGTAATAACTAATAGTAAGTTTTAAATTCCAAAACCCAAACAATTCAATCAGAACTCACTGAGTTTCTTTCATTATTTCCATCAATTTGCGACTAAATCCACATCGAGGTACATCAGGGTTACCTTTCATGAAAATCATACAAGGAGCTTTGTTAGTAAGTGCTTTCAATCTGCAACAAAGAGAGCATTATTCACAAAAGCTTCACAATGATAATGTTCTAAATAAAAAGGCACTTCTTAGGCATTTTTTTCCGGTGGTATGATATTCAATATTGTATAGTAGGCATGGAAAATGTGTATGCTTTTATAAACAGGAAGGGTATTAACCAGAATATGGTTGCCATTTTTCTTGAGAATAAAAAGGTTATTGAAACAGTCAATAGTCATAATATAATTAGTAATGCGTCAAAGACAGTATATAAACTTTCTTGCATTACTTTGAACTTTTGCAATTTTCCAAAATTCAGAGTATCCAAAAAAAAATTAGAACTATACCATTCTTTTTGAATGGGAAAATGTTTCATTTTATAAATTGCATAAATTCCAAGCAGAAATTATGCAAAAATTAAAAATTAATATGCCTCCCCTCCCCCAAATGTACATAATTTCTAAATCTTCTGGTGGTTGTTTTAACAGATTTTGAATATGACAAAAATTCCATCTTCAATATAGTATATTTGCAATTTTTAAAAATGCATGTGTTCTCCGGGAAATGAGGCAACTGCAACTTTTTTCATGTACTTTGATACATAAAAAAAAGTAAAAAAGAAAAAGGCCATTTTTGAGAAACAAGTGTTTGAAAATTGCGAAGAATTCACGCAAAAATACTAAAAACTACTCACATTTTCGAAAAATTTAATCAAAACCAGTCTTTAAACAGATTTTTTTACAAAAAATATTTCTACCTTCAATATTGAAGTCGAAATATTAGGAATTTTTAACAAAAATGAGGCCTGCACCATCTTTGAAGGCCTTCACCCTCAAGGACGAAGTTTAATCAAAAAATTAGAGCTCTTTTTGAAAATGTTGAGGATAAGTCTAAAGAACACTCCAAAATCAAAATATCCCTTTTCAAATTAAGGTAGCCTGCAGTTTCTTCATATCAATGACGGAATATGGCGTTGATGGGCAGGCACGAGTATTGGAAGGGGGGATGCAATAATTTTTCGGCATTAAGGAACAACAAAATGTGTATTCTCACTTAAGGCGCGTTTACACGGAGAGAGTTTTCTCTCCTAACTTTCCGGAACTGGCTAGGAGACACGTGTAAAATCTCAGGAGAGCCATCTTCTCTCCGGAGACATGACGTCACAAGAGATTTTCGAAGTCTCCGCAAGAGAGCAGTGTAAAGACTCTGGAATCGATGAGAAATCGTATCTCCTGGGAGATAAATAGTATTCAAAGAGAGTTGGAAGACTTTTTGCTCTCTTGGTATACGAATATTATGGTGTTCACGTGCTCGATTAGCCATTCTGCGTCTGTCTGTGTCTGTGCGGCGTTCCAACGTGGTCGGTGGATTTCTGTTCTTTGAGGGAAATTATATACCGGGGAATTATAAATACAAATGACAAAGAACTGTATGTATCTCCTGTGGCCAAAAACCGCCGTAGCGTCAAACCAAGTCTCTTTCCGAAATAAATTCTTTTCCACTTTTCTTGCTTTTTGATTGCGTGAGATATTTCCTAATAAAAAATTAAAATTCTTCTGAAGTTTTTGTACATGACTACATTATCGTTTATAATACAATTTTTTATTACATCCTTTAATAAATTAAAACTTCAAATTACAGATCAACTGTAAAAATTTGTTATATAAAACCATAATTAAGTCTTCTCTTTTATATGCCTGCCCTAGGTGTAATGCCTCTTCCACCAAAATTAACAAATTTCAAATAATTCAAAATAATCTCCTTCGCAACATTTTACATCTTTCCTAGTTTATATCATAACACAAATTTACAGAGAACTTGAAATGGATTCTTTCAAATCGTTTATACTTAACTTCACTAAAAGTTCCTAAAACAAATTATCAACTTCATCCAGTTTTCAAACCTTTACATTAGGTCAAAACTATTTTCCCCCTCCTGGACTTCGACCACGTTTTCCAAAAAATATTTTTAATCGTCCGTAAATTAAAACTAGTTTCATTTTATCGTCTCTGAAAAAATGTAATGCAATTGAACTGGTAGCAAATAAATATTTTTTTTAAAAAATCCTCTTCTTGCAATTCCACCATCAAAGTTTTATAAACTCAGATCTTCTTTTCTCAAGAAAACAAAATTACTCCAACTTGTCTCTTTCTTTTCCTCCACTTCTTCAAAATTGTGAAAGTGCCACAGGCAGTTGAAACAGTTGTCACATTCTAACCTCAAACTGCTCGCTGCTGCTTATTCAAGATGGCTGCATTGAGAGACAGTTGTATCAAGTGTGAACAGCAAGGAGATACTTTTCCGGAGAGATCTCGGGAACCAACTCTCCCGTGTGGTAGGAGACTCGCGTTTCGGGAGATATATAGAATCATGTAAAGCCGTCAGAGAGAGTTTATCTCCGTGACGTCATGCAGCATTACGTACCTTTCTCTCAAACATATATACGAGAAAATAAAATGAAAGAGGTTGTCTTCATAATAAGAACAGTGCACAAAATAATAATAATAAGTTTTTTAGATCTGAAGAGCAGAAATAAGAAATGAATAAATTATGGGCGAAATGTTATATCAATTGCAAGACTCATGTTTGTCAAATCCTCGGAAGAATGTTAGCTAATGTGAAATTAAAGAACTCTGTAACTGCAGCAGCTTTAAATTCAAAACAAAATTGAATGTGCAAATTTCAAAATACTCACCTATCATCCAAGTTCTGGCCCTTTTCTGGAAGAAGGTTTTTCAGCTCACCATTTTCATGCATTTCTTTAACAATGTCAAGACCTCCTATCAATTCACCATTTACATACAACTGAAAAATATTTATAAAATCCTATTTTTATAAAAATAAATTAGAATAAACCAAGAATTGAAAAAATCAAAGTGCTATCATACCTGTGGGTATGTAGGCCAATTGGAGAATTGTTTCAAACTTTGCCTCACTTCTTCATCACTTAAAATGTCAAATGTTTGGTAATCAACATTGTAATTTTTTAATAATTCTACAATTGTTCTGCTGAAACCACATCGAGGTTCTTTAGCATTGCCCTTCATGAACAGCATTATAGGAGCAGCCTTTATTAGTTTTGAGAGTCTGCTTTTCAGGTCTTCTTTTGCAGGCTGAACAGAGGACTTTTCATAAGAACCTTTTGATATCTGGAAAATGGAATAATTTTTATAACAAATATTTTCTTCAGTAGAGTGGCCACTCATTTCCTGAAACAAATTTCCACGATTTTTCCATTATCCCGAGCATTTTTATTTTTTCGCTACCGCAGAAGGGAGAAAGTTATGAAATGCTGCACAACAAAAAGTCAAATTTTCGGCAGAAACACTTTTATTACAGGGGCCTGGCAAAGAAAAAATTGATAAATAAACATGTTAAATTTAGGGGGGAAATCCTCTAACACGTGGTGTATCCAGAATACATGTTTAATGGGTCCTTGATACTGAAAAATCAATTTATGGCAAAACACTGATTTTTTGAAAATTGAAAATATTCTGTTTTTCGGCGTCTTCATACAACTACAATTATGAAGATTAACGTTTTTTCTTAATGAAAGGTTAATGACCGTGGGTGAAGGCCTAAGGCCCGAGCCTTGCCGTGACTTGGATACGGACGAGCGAAGCGAGAAAATTTGCTGTTGAAAATAAATTGGCATTACAATGCAGCAGGGACAAAGCGTATGAAACACAAGCCATGAAAATCGCACATCCATAAGTTTTATTCATTTCCGTCAGAGCGCGTAGCGTGATTTGAGAGAGGGCTTAAGAAGATCCCTCCTCCCTGCCGCCTTGCTTCTCTGAAGGGATACTGTGTACCCTACTTTAACCAACAATATTTATGTACTTTCGGATTTCAAACAAGCAGTTGCTATTTGAAGGACATCAATTGGTTGATGTTAAGATAAAATTTCTAGGTCTCAATTCAGTTAAACCTAAAATGGTATACCAATATAAATGAATTAAACTTCAACGTAAGTTCTTTACATTCCGCATTCAGAATTATTTGAAATTCAGTATAGATAAATGAATTTCGCTGTCCGGGTGACGGCGCGACGAAGGCTGTGTTGTCGACGTTTCAACCATCTTATTGTGATCTTCAGGGCTGGTCTGCGCCGGAATGATCAGCGCTCGTGTGAACATATGGGTGTGACCGGGTACGATTGGCTGGAACAGCCAGCCAATCGGAAGGCCACACATCAACATCGGGATGGGGTCAAGTCCGTCCCGTCCCCTCCCCTAATAATTCAAAAACCAAGAAAAGAGAGAATTTTTCTCCGAGGAAATAAAGTATTTTGGAACACCGTATGGTTTTGGTTCACCTTTGAACAAAGTGTACCATATAAATACAATTCTTGATTGTCAACCCCCTCTCCTTAAAAATAAGAAACAACAAACCACTCGCCTAAGAATTGGTCGAAAGAAATGAACTCTTGAACACCTAATAAGGAAGGTCCAAAATTTTGATTTCTGCAAACTGCCCCTGGAACTAAAATATAAAAACTGTATTCAAATGTAATGCTACAGACATACTCACTTGCCTTTTACAAATAAAAAAAATTAAAAAATCAGAGTTTAATAACAATTAGGCCTGCATCATTCTTTTAAGCAATCCTTGTTCTGCTAATGGGCAAAAAAAAAATTTCAAACAATTGTGCATGACCCATTTTTAAAGATTTATTTTTGGGGGAGATAGTTTACATTGAAGAGAAAAATCTATATCTTCAATATTGTACTTTTTCAATGTTAACCTTTTGCAGTTTTAGAAAATACTAGGAGTTTGCTGAAAACAGGACCAGCGTCTTTTTTTATACCGGCCTTTGATTCGTAAGAGAATTTCATAAGAAAATTTAAACAAAAATACATAAAACATTATCCTTATATTTCATACATTATGCAAAAACTACTCACTTTCAAAATTTGTACATGTCGTTATTTCCAGATCCATCTTTACAAAACAGATTTCACTAAGGGGGAAATAAATCTTTTCAGTTGTGGGAAGACACAGAAAAAAAAAAAACTTTTGCTATTTTTGAAAAATCAGGGACTCAACAAATATCAGCCATGGGCCGTTCTTTCCACAAATTGTTTACACTATCCGAGATCAAAGCTTTATCCAAAACTTCCAAAATCAAGATATCCTGTTCAAACTTAGAAGGCTTTGACCTCATTTAAATTGATCGAGTAATATCATTTTTGGTGAAAATTGGCTGGGTTTTTATTTTATTTAGTGAAAAATGGTAAAAAAAAAAATGTGACATATGTTGGAGAAAATCCTGCACACATTTTCTTGACCCCCCAGAATCCCTTCCCAACATTTTAACTATAAAATGTTGAAAGATGAATAAAAGTTTAAAAAATAAAACAAATAATTAATAATAAAGTTTAAAAAAGATCAAGACAAGCAATAAAATAATAGAAATGTTTGTCCCCAAGTTTCAGAAAGCTTATTTGCATGTGTAAATGAATTACAAATTTGATTTTTCTGCATTGCTAACATTGCTAAAATAGTAACTCACCCCCAGCTTTGCTCCTACCATTACACGCAAGAGGAGAGCTCAACAAAACGTGTGCACAGTGATCATGTTGTGGTTTTAGTGCTATATTCATTACAAGCTGACTTTAGCCATCAATAAATATTTCAGTATCAAGGACTCACAAAACATGGATTCTGACTAAAACGCATTTTAGAGGAAATAATTTACTATAAATAGCAACAGCATTTATAAAATGTTTATTATTTATCAGGGTCCACCAATAAGAGTTTTTCCGTAGAAAATTCAATGTTTTCTGACACATGATAAATATTTTTTCTCACGAAGTAAAGGCGAGAAAGTAAAACTTGTACATGACATAAGAGGAAGAAGTATAACTGGGTTAATCTTCTTGAGCTACGGAATTTCTTCCCTGCTCTTTTACTATACATAGTATACGTAGCAACATTTGAAGAGCACACTGTTTTGCTCATGAGTTTTAAAAAACTTATTTGGATCAGCAAACTAACTAAAGATTTGATTTTTATTATTGCTAACAAAATAGCGACATCCCCCCATAGCTCTACTTCCTACCACAACTAGTAGAAGGAGAGATACACAACACGCTACAGAAGCAAAACAAGGGCACACCTCAACATCTGCTCAATGGAAAGTGTATGTAAAATCCTTACCCAGAAGCAGAAGTCCATTTCTTATTACAGGCATATTTAATAATTTTAAAAATATACAAAAAAATGTAAATTAATGCAAATTATATCATTGTTAAAATGATTATCATTTTTCTTTTTGATGTGCAGTCTTTTTGTCAGTGCAGTCTTTAATTGTATAAAAGAAGCTATACTGCAGAAAAGATTTTACTTGGCACTTACTAGTTTGTATCAATTTTAATTCTTAATTGTCATCTAACAATGTGTTATAAAAGTAACATGACTATTATATGTGGATTTCTTGTAGTAAGCAGTAAATACTGACACCAGATGAATATATTTCCTATAACACAAGTTGTGACTATGAACATCTGTATTTCACAAAATCATGTACCCACTGTAAGGTAAGTTAAACAAAAGCTAGAGATTTGTAAATAAATAGATAAGGCCATGATAAGATTCCAAACTCAACAAAGTGAAGCTTGCAGGTTTCACATATATAGCACTTGCTTATTATTAGTACATTTCACCTGCAATCTAAAATCTGAGATACTAGGGCGAGCTTTTTCAATAATATTATTCCCAGACTGACTGAATTTCAAATAATTCTGAATGCGGAATGTGAAGAACTTACGTTGGAATTTAATTAATTTATATTGAAATACCATTTTAGGTTTAACTGAATTGAGAGACCTAGAAATTTTGTTATCTTAACATCAACCAATTGATGTCCTTCAATAGCAACTGCTTGTTTAAATATTAAAGTTCATAAATAATGTTGATTAAAGTAGGGTACGCAGTACACCCTCAGAAGTGTGGCAGCAGGGAGGAGGGATCTTCTTAAGCCCTACCTCAAATTACGCTACGCTCTGACAGAAATGAATAAAACTTATGGTTATGCAATTTTCATGGCTTGTGTTTCATATGCTTTGTCCCTGCTGCATTGTAAAGCCAATTTATTATCAACAGCAAATTTTCTCGCTTTGCTCGTCTGGATCCAAGTCATGGCGAGGCTCAGGCCTTTGGCCTCGCATTAACTATAAATGTCCTCAAGTCTATCCACCGCATAATTACCAATTCACTTTTATAAGAAAGCACTTTTCAAGAAAGCCTCCATAATTCAAATTGTGCAGTTACCACCTGAGTGGCGCGAAATACTGTTTAAACGACTTGTAAGTTGTACTGTATACTAGATTTCAGCAAAATTGTTTTTCCTTCGCCTGCAATTAATTTGTAAATACAAACCCAATTTGAAATGTCTGAAATTGAACTACGGATTATTTAGTTTTTGCAAGTTGAAGTTGAGAAGCTCACTTTATAATGACCTTAACAAAATGCTGAGTGGTACATATGAAATACTCAACATGTTTAAATCTCTAGAGGGAATTAACATACACAAATTTATTTAAAGCAATCGTGCATATTATATAACTTGTCAACTGCACATTTATACATGGTTAAGTCACTATAATATATTACTATACACTACATTGTATACTGTGTATTCTTAGGATACAAATGTATACGTGACCTTTAATGCAGCATTAAAAGAAGTAGACATAGTAGGCTTAACACTGAATGTTGCTGTAGCAAGATTGGGTGTTGTTCTTATTTGGTACATTTAAATATGCTTATCTTTTTTTAGTAACAAATTTTTTTGTACATTAATTACTAAATAAAGCAATTAAAATAAGTATTAGAGCTCCTGCCCTTATGTCATTAAAGAACTATTTTAGGAGCATAGAAGGGCACTACGTAGTCCTACAAAAAAAGATGTCAAAAGCTAATTACAAAAAAAAATACTTTCCAGTTTTTCCTTTGGTCAGAAAATTAATACAACTGAATAAATTGTAATCAAATATGTTTCATATCTTGAACATAACCTGATCAGTACACGCACATCTTGAAATGCATGTACTAATCAAATGATTTTTTTTTTTAAATTTATTATTATCCAACAGGCATATATTGCCTAAATACATTTCATATATACATAGGTTTATACGCTCTTGAAGATTACAAAATATTCGTTTGTCATAAAATAAGTATTGTAAATTGTTACATATCTATCCAGTGAAATCTAATATGAGTTGTTTGATCATTTTAGCTATTGACGTATTTCGAATCAAATCAATTTCATTCATAAATGTATTGGTGATTCTGCCTAAACGTGGTATAGCAGAATTATAGAAATAGTCGGTTCAACAGTCAAATTCTCTCAGTAGAGTAGATCTTCGCATTGTGTATGGATAGTCATACAATTGATAAATATTTCAAAGTGATGTACTTTTAATTTTTCCAGTCAATAATTTATTCATAAATAACACGTCGTGTACTATACATGACAAAGTTGGTATTTGCAAATAGCTAGATATTTCACTGTAGTCATGATTTTATTTGTTTTGTTAGGGGACGTCTGTAAGAAATAATAATGTTTTAAAAATCGCATGTAAATGCACGTTATCACTATACCCAAATTATACTGAAACAATGTAAGGTTGTATTCTGTAAGGAGAGGATTAACATTTTGATTGAAATACATTCCTTTCCTGGGGACAAGGAATAAAGATATTTATAAGATAATTAACCACTCAATTATTTGTTGTCAAGGCCTCTAATAAGTACAATTTTCCTAGATTAACAATTACAGCGGTTTTTCATATTCCGATAAAGAAATCGCATACTTGTTGATTAATTTTTTGAGTAAGTTCGGCAGCGTTGGCTCCATTCACTCGATCCAATAAAGCGCCTTCACGTAACAAAAGAAAAGTGGGAACGGCAGAAATTTGATATTTGAGAGATACTTCAGGAAGATCTTCTGCTACACATTTTGCAAACTTCACGCTCTGAAACCAAATTGGGCAAATGTCACTCTCTTCTATTTCATTGTTTTTAGTCAATTTTGTACATACAGTCCCTGGCCGTACTATTAGACGCACTCCAAATTTTTAACAAAATGTTAAGTTTTGAAGTCTCTCACTGCAATACATTACAT